TGACTAAATACATAATTATTTTTTCATAAATATCTACTTATATTCCCGACATTGCCTACTGCTACATGCATCGGTAATTAGTTTCAGCATGCCATGTTCAATCCTCGTCTTTTTTTTTTTAATTTGAAAATATATTAAAGTATTTTTTTTGTTTTTAATGTTAATATATTAAAAACGTGGAAAGAAGTATTAATTTTAGTGTTTTCTCACGAAATTTACACGAGGAAAACTAACAAAACAAGAATAAAATAAAATATGTGCATAGATTTGTATATAGAGTAAATGTGTGGTTGGTAGGACTATTTTGTATTTCTGCCGGTAGCTGCAGGACCCCTTTGTCCATTTCCGCTATATGACACGTGGCCATAGCTCCACACGTCGACGTCGTCGTCGTTGTCGTCGTCATCCATGTGATTTTGGCCCCACACCCCACTTCCCTCCTCCATACTTGCATGCATTGAAGTAACAAGACACTTGGATGGTCGGGCCCATTCTCTAAAGTTCATTTATGTTGTATTTTCACCCCAGATTTTTAATTTAATTTATGAAAAATATTTCCAAAAAAATATTCACTTGTTCTTAGACCCGGTTTTCGATGCAAAATCTACATCCATTCCCCTAGATATATATATATAAATTACATGATTTTCCGCTGCCATGGGTTAAATAGTTGCAGAGTCTCTAGAAAATCAGCCATTGTTGCTATCATATCACACACCACCTGTCAATGACCCTTTGATGAATCGTACAAGATCAATAATATCTGGGTTAAATATATTTAATAGATATGAAACCCTTTACTGTTCCTGTTTAAATACAGTAAAGATAATACAAAATTACAAATACACTTACTTATATTAACCATGACAATAGTTGAATAGAATTACAATTAACTCACTAGACACTAATTAATTATATACAAATAATAAAACGATCAAGATTATTTCATTAAACACCATTAATTAGTGACCAGCGGTACTGTTCGAGATCATGGAGGGCGGGTCAGGTTTCTTGAACTGACTTGAAAATACCATTGCATGAACAGCAGGATGGCATGGGAATTCATGGACATGGATCACTTAGTTTCAGACGTCTGCATTATTTAGAGGGGGTGTTAATTTCTTGCGTTCCAAGAACGAAACACAAGTAATAAACCCTGATAACATTTGATCTCGCGGACCCTGTTCTTTATATCTGATCATGAACATCGCTGTCTCTGTGCTCTTGTTGCCTTGAGGCATTAACGAAATCCAAAGACGAAGCAAGCTTGAAGGGGAGACAATCTTCTCAATTCAGCGGCCAATGCAAGATCGTTCACCACATTAATATTTATCCCAATGCATGTTTCATGACGTACGCTTCAAGTCGAGGGATTTTTTTCTACTTCTTTATTTTGTTTTTTAAGAGTTGCTCTTGATAATGAGTCAGAGAATAACAAGGCAAATTATGCTAAGAATGAATGTGTGCTTTGCAGATCATGAACTATGCAAAATATTCCAAAACCTTTCGATATTCATGGTCGAGGAATCATTATAATGTATGGTAAATAAAAAGATGGTGACTGCACTCTCCCCCACTCTCTCTCTTTCTCTTTTTTTTTCTTTTCTTTTTTCAATTCTTTCCAGTACATTGAATACGTAGTATTTGATATGGGCCTCACAGTGCGGACATGGGCAAGATCATCCAAGGCTATAGTATCTTTGAGAAGAGAAGTCAGCAGAGGTTAATTTGGCACCCAGCAAGCACCCCCCACCAGGCATAAAACTAGGCGGGAAAAGACAGCATTCCAGCCAGCCCCTGGCTGTACACAAAGAAAGTTCGGCGATGCTAGTTCTTTCAAGATGGGTCAATGCTTGATAGACGCGAGTAGGGTGCTGGAGCCTTTGGCCTTTTCCTCTCCCTTCGCTCTCCATGACTGTGCTATCTTCTCTTTAGAAAAACATGTACACGCCTGCCATACCAGTACTCATCTAATAGTCAGCTCTTAGCTAGCCAGAGGGCACTCATGTCCCCCCTCATTGGATAATAAAATCCAGGGCCCCACCTTGATTTGATACGGGTGCCGTGATTGGTGTTCGGGGTCGGCCCTCCTAGCTACCTAGTTGTTCTCCAATCTTTCCTTGCTGGAATAATTAATAGGTCCATCTTAATTATTGATCTTTCTTCCTTCAAAGCTGCCCGCTCGAATCCTGGTGCCGTAAGTCTTTACTGGTTGAACTCTGTGTTTTATGGTGGCTTCATTGCTGGGGGTGTCGGAGCTTCACCCCTTGTGTAAGTAGAGGTGTTATGTGCGCAGGTTTGGTTGACAGGTGTGATGCGGTGTAGCTGAAATTTGTGTTTTGTTTTGATTATAAATTTTGCATGGGATTTACTGAAAACTTAAAAAAAAAAAACCCTTGATCAAGAAAGATTTTTAATTTGTAAATTCTTTTAGATCTATTTTTTAAAATAATAATCATAATTAAAACCTATTATAATACCAGACGAACATTAATTCGTGATATGTGAAAGTTTGAGACAGCTCACTCACTTTCCATTCCTAGCACTAAAAAGAAAAATATTCCATGACACTTTAATCTTTCATTTCTCATACCATGACTTTCATTTTCTTTGTCGTCACTTACCCTTCATCTACAAATCTTGAAACTTGCTGTTGAAGATATTTAGGTATTTTTATAAAGTCATTTAGTTATTGTTAAATTAACAAATAATAATAATGAAAATTTATTTTATCTCGAATGCATATTTAACAAATTTATTTGGTGATTTTTTATTTTTACATTGTTTTTTTTTCTATTATTATCGATTCAGTTAGGAATAATTTGATATTTGACTTGATTTATATATATATTAAAAAAATACAATGAGACAACTAAAATGCATTTAAAAGAAAAAAAAAATAAAACTTATGTTAATGGTATTTTTTATATTTTCATAATAAATTTTTCGTTATTATCAAGTTAATTTTGAAGCAATTTAATATTTGATTAAATATAAAAAGTAAAAAAAAGCTATGGCATGTGTGATATCTCTCGATGTCTAAAAAAGATCTTCCATCATGTTATTGGAAGCATTTTCATGTCATCTTTATGATGGTGTGACACGTGTTGATACTAGTAATCCGATTTTTTATTAGTGAGTCTTGTTTTTTTCTTTTTTTTTCTCTTTTCGTATAAAAATTACAATTTGATTTTTTTTGTTGTTGATATTTTAACTTTGATAACTATTCTTTTGATTTTTAATTTTTATTCATGACTTTTTTTATTTTTAATTCCATCATTCAATCCCAATATGCCATGTATTATTATTTCCAATTAGGCCATCATTCTTTTGATTATTTTTGGGCATTTTGTTAAATTAATTTTTCTTTTAAATCTCACCTTTCAATAAATTTTTTTATTTTAATTTTGATCCTTATTTATTTAATTAATTTTTGATCCTTTTGTTCAAATAATTTTTTTTCAATATAACCTTTTAATTAAAAATAAAATTTATCTTGTATTTCAATTTTAATCTCTATTATTTCAATTGTTATTTTTTTTATTTTGAATTCTTTTTATGTAATTGATATTCTTTTTTTAAGTTAATTCTTCAACATCCAATTAATTGAGATTTGAGCTTTGTACTTTTTACAAATAGAGTATTTTTAGTTTAATGGCACAAATCACAAGTTTAAAAGGTTATATTTGTATGGCACAAATCACAAGTTTAAAAGGTTAAATGTAATTTGACTTCTTTTTTTATTTAGATTTTAAACTTATTTTTTTTAGTTTTGTGATTTTTGATATTTTTTTTTCTATTAGGTTATTCTATTTTTATAATTTAGATTATAGGTTAGACAAATTAAACTAGCCTAACTCACCTTTTATTCATTGAGTTATTAGTTTATTATATTAATTCGAATTGATTTTAGCTGATTTTTTTATTTTTTAATTTAATTTTATTATTTCATATTTAATGGGTTTAAGATTGAGATGCATTGTTTGTCTTATTTTACAATTTTTTTCCAAGATTATCATTGTTATTTTTTTAAGTTGTCATTATTTATTTTTTATTTTTTTAAAATAAAATTAACTTATTTAATGAAATAAAGTTAATAACTTGAATTATAATTTTTTTTTAAAAAAAACATGTTTACGCTACTTGAATATTGTTTTTTTTTTTAAATTCCCACGGTGTATAGGGCACCCGGCTAGTACGTGCAATTTCTTCTAGCTTGTTCATGTTTTCCGTAGTCTGCTGTGGAGTTTGCGACATGTCCCTTGAAAAGTTTGATTTGCATGATGGAGGCTTGAGTGCGTGTAATCCTCTCAACCTCCCATGTCAACAACCAGCACCTTCTTCAATGCAATATACCTAATTTAGCATCCAAAGATTGACCAACCACTTTTGTCCACTCTGTAATGCATTTTCCAGTTTACGCACTTTTAAGCAGGAAGGCTAGGAACTTGGGAAAGCAACTGAACAACCATCATAATTAACTTTGGATCATCTGTGGAAATTAGGCCCTGAGAGAACAAAATGCCTGTGCATAGTGCCCTAAGCTCGGCTGCCATTCACTTCTTTCATGACTCCAAATTGTCAATATATTCCACTCAGAATCTCACAAATAAGAGAGGGAGCGAGCAATTTGCAGCTATAATTGTAAATCATGCACAAAGCATCGTAAATATGACTCTTTCATAATGGAGGATGTTCAGAAAAGAAAAGAAGTGATAATGGAGGTGAATTAGCTTTAGAGCATAATCAGTGATAACAAATGAAGAAACGAAAAAGAAGCCAAGAGAGCTCTCTTTCTTTTTAAATTCCAGAGCAGAAGTAAAACCTATCACATGAGCATCATCTTTGAAAAGTAAAACCTATCACATGAGCATCATCTTGGTTCCAATAATGCCAGAGCAGGAAGATGCACGGGGTTTATGTATTTTGCAGATTGAGATGCAATAGCCAAATCCATTTTTCCATTGAAATCTCATCATACCTCAAGCAACAATAGAATGGCAACATAAATTAGTTACATGTATTAACAGAACATGAACGGTTATTCCTGAAGGGCTTTACAAAATATCAGAGAGTCCCGAAGTTGAAACTGAGCCGCTGGACATTGAATGGAGATGCTTAATAACATTGCAGCACAGAACAACATGGGACTCCAAAGAGAAATAATAAAAATGCAAATTATGCTATTATATAAATGATAACATGGTATCCAGAAAGGAGATTTTTCGACATCTTAAATGTAAAAGAGCGAGATAATTTTTTAAAATATATGCTTAGAAATTAAAAATCCAACCACTTCTGGTAGTAGACACAAGTCTTTGGAGAGATAATGCCATCAGGTGTACACTGACTTATCCGTGGACAAACTCCACACGGGATGGACGCTAATGCCCCTGCCTTTGGCTCCCCTCCAAGGCCTCCCTTGCTAACGTATTTATAGCAAACCTCTCCAAAAGGAATTGAAGCAAACTCACCCATTCCATTACTCTTCACTTCCATGATTGCATTGTCCAAAATCAAAGTCCTCAGGATCTCTTCAATTTGCTGTTTTGTCACGTCAACATTGAAGGCTGGATAACTATTGATCATATCTGTAACTTCCACCAAAGTGGCAACCCCCTTCTTTTCTATTTGGCGTTTGCATAACTGCCTCAGTGACTCGATAAACTCTGTATCAAGGCTCCCCTCAAGATACCATGCCCCTCCACTGATTTCCTTTGAAGGTTCAAACTCTGTTGCCATGAAGTGTTTCCTCCCCTTGTTTTGGATGTTCACCACCTCTTTTATCAAGTTTTTGACCCGCAGAGCCTTGAGAGATTTATTTACCACATTATCTGGAAGTTTGGCTTCTTTTTTCATGTCTCTGGTCCAGATTCCAATATCTTGTTTGCCTCGGATCACATCATAGAGGATACGCTCATGTTCAGTCAGAGATTGAACTGGAGAATTCAGTTCTGGCCGTTTCCTCTTAAGGGATGAAGGTCCTTGTACACGACTCATTCCTACTGAAAGAACATCAAAGCTGAATATGTTATATATGATGTATCAGAACAGTAGTAGTTTTTAAACAGGATATTAAAGCACAAAGCACCTGAAGTTCCCATTTTATGTCAAAGCCAAAGATATGAAATGCATCATACATCTTTGTACACAATGCCCATTTTGGTGGCTGAAGAATTGCTAAAACAAATTTGAAACTAAAACACATCACAACCAACAGCATGAAAAAAACAAAAGTTTCACACCTCCTAAAATGTAGTACAACTTTGAGAAGAATTTCAGATTTTATAAAAGCCAGAAAAATTGAGACATAAAAGATTATTTTCTTTGAATCAGTATTCCTTTATATGTTTTTGTAATGGATCAAACACTCAGAAATCAATCAACAGAGAGACGAAAACAACCAAAACTTTTGAGACAAAGAAGTTAGGGCGACTCTACATGCAAAAGTATCGCATAAGATTCATAAATTCACACTAACTAGCAAAATAAGTTATAATTTTTTAACCTCAACACATTCAGGTCATCAATGATATGACAAAGGGGCACTAATATGATGTTACTATGATTTCATTAGATATTACTAAATTTAGTTACATCGCAACACAACTTGTCTTGCATCTTTCTTGATGGCTGGTAAAGGGCCATTTAACAATTATGTTACTCATCTGCGGAACCCGTCACAAATCTTTCAATACCAGCAATGCTCAGATTACAAAAGCTTCCAGCAATGTCATTTTGTATGCAATCTACTAGAAACTCACATTGCTTCTCCCTGTTAGTTTCAATAGCAAAAAATCCATCAGGTTTCAACATTGCAGAAGCCCCGTTGCAAAGATGAACAAGATAATCAATCCCACTAGAACCACCATCTAAAGCAAGTCTTCGTTCATGTCTACCAACTTTAGCTTGTCACTTGGTATGTATGGTGGATTACTCACAATACCTACAAGTTGTCCTTAACATCCTTTAATGGCTCAAACCAAGATCCTTGCCTTACTTCAATCACATCCTGAAGGCCATACAGGCACATTAGAGTTGCCAACAAAACTGCAATTGGGCTTCAATCAGTGTCATAACTCCCCCAAATCGTTCTAATACCTATAGCAATAGCACCACTACCCGTACCCACATCTGCCCACAACCCTTGTCCCAATTCTTCATTTTTGGAAACCACATCACTTACCAGATCAACAATCAATTCTGTATTTGGCCTCGGAATCAAGACCCCTCCCTCACACTCAACACCAAGTCCCTCCAGTGCTCACACCCTACTATACTGGTAAGGCCTCCTCTCTTCAATCGTCTGCTTCCACAATTGGTAAAGATCATCCAAACTTATCCGTAACATGACATTCCCATTTTTACCACTAGTATCATATTTATACCAGGAAAAGGAAAAGCACGAGGAGGAGGAGGAGGAGGAGGAGTTTAAAAGTGAGTCCTCAATGAGCTAATTGAGCTCCCTACACAGGACAGGAGAGTGGAGTCAGGGCCATTATCAGACTCCACAAAAAACGATCCAACATAGGAGGCAACGTTTTTTGCCCAACCATGACATTTTTTAAGTTCTGATGAAGCACTAAATAATTAGGTGGCCTAAAAAAGAGGGGTTTTTTTGGTTTAATTGTTGTTAAAGACGGCATTGATGAAGAGAAAAATCGGTGTGCAACAGCAGCCATAAAGACACGCTCGGCTCAGGCCTAGCTTCATCTCTCTTGTTCAATGTAACCACATGTCAAAAGCATATCCTGACAGATTAATGTTATTGGTGCACATTTTGTTTCCTTAAACAAGGATTATTCATTTATATTGGATATTTGGGTGTTCTCTATCAACCTCATTCAAGCTAAAAACCGTGGACAAAAACTAATCTACAAAGATCAAGATTCAAGCTTTAACCACGCAATTAATTGCTTTTGATCAAACGAGCAAAACCCAGATTGAGTTTTCAATTTAACAATCCTCATGTCCATAAAATAAAGCACATGCCTTTGACTAGATAGGAGTTAGTTCATAGTCCTTGCAATCACACACAGTCTTTTATACTTCAAAAGTTCCAAGTCTAACAGTGATATGAGACAAAAAGAATGAAAGAAAGAGTAGTTGCAATACTAACCGGAAGAGGCAGGCGGTGCAATAGGCCGGAACGCGGAGGTCGAAGGAAGAGAAGAGGTAGCGGCAGCAAGCGGCGGGAAGGTGACTGACTGAACACAGGCTAGATAGAGGGATGCGCGTGTACACCGTAGAATGAGAGTACGAAAAACGCTGCGTTTCACTTATAAAGGTTTTTTCAGTTAAATGAAATCCATTTTATTTATTTTTTCAAAGACTATTTTTTAGTTGTTTGTCAAGCTTAGAATAAACACGTGATATGACCTGGCATTTTGTTAAGAAGATAACTTTAATTTATTTATTTTTAATATTTCGTTGACTCTATTTTTTTTATAATCTTGATTCTCTTTTACTTTTAAAAAGTTAATAAGAAAAGGGATTATATATATATACGGGCACTGTTTAGAACCCGCTTGACAATGAAATTATATATATCTATGTTTTATTTAAAATGCAGATGTAAGGTAAAAACAAAACGTATTTTACTATATATGAGTTACATGTTTTTTTGCATTCTTTTTTGCATTCGAGACGCAGGAAAAGAAGAAGCAAGTGTACTTTGTGCACACTGTTCACACTAATTTTAATTAGCAATGTATGTGAACAATGCAATAGATTTGCACTGTACACTTGAAAAATAACGAACAGTGCAGTGAATTGCACTGCAATAGATTTGCACTATTCACTTGAAAAATAACGAACAATGCAGTGAATTACACTATTCATGTGAACAGTGCAAATCTATTGCATTGTTCACACATTTTTTTAAAAGATTGTTAATTTTATTAATATTAAAAAAAAAACTAGTTTAAAGTAAATTAAATTAATTTGTACTGTGAATAATATTTTTTTCCTAAAAAATTAGTATATAGTGAATTAAATTCACTCGCATTATAATATTAATTTTATACCTGATAATATTTTATCTAATTTTATTACACGCTCAAAATATTATGAAAACTGTAGTTTTTATCGGATAAATTTTATACGTAATGGAATTATAAATAATTTAATAGAATAATAAAAAATATTTTATATAAAGTATTATTTATTTCATGATGTAATAGAAGTAATTAACTCTACAATATTTAAATTTAAAACCATCAATATTAATATATATTTTTTAAAATTATTTTATAACTTTAATTTCAAAAGTATTTTTAACCGAATACATTAAACTACTTTTTTTTAACCTCAATTTCAACCATAGTTTTAACCAAACACCTATTTTTTCAAATCAACCTCAACTAAAAGTATTTTTTATAAAATAATTTTTTTAAAACCACAACCACAACAGCTACCGCAATACCAAATACACTCTTAAACTCTCATATCCAAAACTCTATTTTAAGAATTTTACTCGTTGAGTAATAAATATAATAAAACTCCGATTTGTGATAAGCCATTAGCATATAAGAATTAACTTGAATGACTTGTATGATGTTTTTGTTCTGGTCATGTTGTGTTCAAGTCATTGTGCGTGACCTGCACATGGAGACTCGGGGATGCATGCTGAATCAATCCCATGAGCATGTCCTGCACATAAATGCTTCCCCTGATTTGGGATATCGTCCCATGAATCTCACTGAAGATGGCCTGGCTGTTGCCGACGATCGATGAGCCTTCCTGAACAGGTTTCAACTGTGTTTTACACAAAGAGTACCAGAACTCCCAACTGTTTACTCACCTCAGATTTCAAGGCCCTCTAATCTCCCAATGCACAAGTTTTCTTGCTACTTGATGATAGCAGAGACTTCCCAACACTCTGAAGGCTGTAAAATGGCCAGTTGATGCTCTTCTTACTCGCAAAGACCCTCTTAATGACGGCCTCGAGAGAAGTTTGAAAACGACGAGTGAAGATGCCAAAGACCCTACCCTCGATTCTCATCGAAACTAACTTGCCAACTTTCCAACATGTTTCCTTATCTTTCCATATCTAGTTTCTGTTTTCACGAAGGACAGCAAAACCACATTTGGATAACTCCTTCTCAAGAGACTGATCATTTTGATTAATACTTATAAGGCAGATGCGATATCATAGAATGCAGCAGCTAGAATTTGAGCATAGGGATACCAACCATAGCTGCTTCAGGCAACTCTCTGGAAAGCAACACGGGAAAACATAGGGTCACGAGTAATGAGAAAGCTGCAGTCTCTACATATGGTTTGCAATCTTCAAAAGCCATCTGGGAAAAATTATGTTTCTCCTAGAGGATGTCTGTCTGTAGGTTAGGGCAAACGAGCTGCAGCAATGTTTTGAGTCATGTTAAATGTGGCAGTGCAACCGAAAATCATATATTTCACGAGAGAGGACCAGCAAGCCAGTTCATAAAATGGAATGGATTCCTTTTAACTATTGGAAAGAGCTGGCCATTTGTCTTTTCAATTTTTGATGTTAGGGCTGGATTCCCCTACATCAGTGAGAATAATAACAGACAATATCCAACTGTTACCAGGCATATTCCAACTCACAATATTCTATCAACCAAATCATAGACCCTTTTTAGAGTTTCTTATCTCTACCTTCATCATAGACCCTTTTTAGAGTTTCTTATCTCTATCTTCTCAGCAATTTGCAAAACAATCTGACAGAGGATCACTCACGACCTCAAGATCTAAATGAGAGGCCATATCATTTACCTGTTTTATGGGCATTCACCTGTGCTATTCTGGTTTCTTTTTTCAAACTTCTTTTCTGCAACTGCCCAAACATTTCCATCTCCTTTGCTACATATTTCTTGCATTTGTCATACGATCTTAAGAGTATTTGTAAAACAGTTCTTGAAGGAGAATATTCATACCACTTGCTTCTTCCATACTTCAATGTATAGAGCTATGATATTCAGCTACATATGCAGTTCCTTTCATCTCTCTATCAATATCATTTGTTGTTATTGCTATTTCACAAGGTACATGAATGGGGGACATGGCATAACAAGTTTGATTGCAACACAACTCTTTTGTGAGGCTTTTAACAATTTAATTTCCGAGAACAATTTGGTTAAAAATAACTCAGCCTCTAAGTAATCATCCAGTCTTTCATGGTTTATTTCAATTGCTTAAATCAAAATCCTATCCCATCATGTATAACCAATCCAAAATTTGTATAAATTTCTATTTATAATCAAAAAGTTACAAGATTGGATACATCTACATAACAAATAAAGATCCCAAAAGTTCTGAATGAAATTAGGCCAATATCACAATTTCATAATGGTCACACATGTAAAGTAGTCGATTTAGGGAGTCATTTGAAACGAATGCAACAAGAAGTCCCAGAATCATCCATATGTACAAACAGTTAACTTTAATACATTTTGCATTAGAAACTGTATCTGTAGTTTTAAAGCAACCACACAACCATGAAATACGGAACTTTGAAAAATCTGAAATTAATTACTTACAAAGATTCAGCACGGTCAACAGCTAGAGGGATACAAACAAGATGAACATAAACAAGCTCCTTTAAGTTTCTTACTCATCTGGAAACTCTTTGCTTGATGTAGCCGACTGAAGTCAAAACTTGAACACAATCATCTTTTCCGATCCTTTATCAAGACAAACTCTACAACTGCATACATGGACAAGAGACTAAGCATTCTACAAAAGAATTCTATCCCAGCAAGTTTTCCACATGAAGTATGAAATTTCAGCAACCAGGAACTTGAGAAAGTAGAATGATTATTGACAATTGCACTTCCAATGAAATCAATCAATAGACAGCATTAAATGATAATCTAGGTGAAAATTTTCAAGATTATATATCTTCCATCTCTAATAGCTAAACTAAAATGTTCAGGGTAATCGACTAATTGATCATCGAGAGGATGAGATACTTATAAAGATCTCATTCACCTCAAGTGAAAAGTTTGCCTCTAGGAATTGACATATCTTTTTAGTCAAATAACATGATATTGGATAGGCATCTATTAGCTGTCTGCTCAAAAAAGAGAAAAGAATCAACTTTGGTTCTGGGCAGTATCCTCATAACAAACAAGTATAAGACAAAAAGCAATCATCACCAACTAGCGGAGTCCAACTGGATCCAAGTTCAAAATGGACATAACCCTCAATGGCATTGCATATGCACAAACACATACAAGTCAGCAAATTCCAAGGATAGCAAGCAAACTTTTCTTTTTAAAATCTTCTCCATGGCCATGACCTAGCCTTTTAACGATGCCATCACTCATCAAGATGCAATCTTGACATATAAATATAAAGAAAAGAAAAGAAAAGAAAAGCCAGATTGAGGCAAAAAAAAAAAGAAAAAGAATCTTGATAAAAACCCACAAAATCAGTAGATATATACACTCGTCTCCACAAAATTATCATGCAACACCAATCCAAACAACCCAACAATTTCCTCAAAAACAAAACAAAAGAAACAAATTAAACATATACAAGAGAGAGAGAGAGAGAGAGAGAGAGAGAGAGAGAGAGAGACCGTGCACAAATGATGAAACAAAATGGAGTAAATCAGTCAGAGTCATAGTGGTAGTATTCAACATCAGCAGAGGAGGAAGAAAAAGAAGCTTGATGATGATGATGACCATACTGATGGTGATCTTCATCATCTGATGATGTGGAGTAATAAGAGTAAGAAATCAGGAAAGAATCAGGTGGAGGCAAGCAGAGGAAAGTCCAGACGAAAAGAGCTAAACGGCCCAGTTGTTGAAGAGGAAAGCAGCAAACAAGATCAAGGAGCTGGTGACTGCTTACACGATCTTGGAACCTTATGCATGCTATTTGTTGCCATACGTCTGCTGATACGTGGGCTACTGATAATACAATTAAGCTGTTGAACACCATTTTTCTTCTCTCTTCTCTCTTTGCTATTTCTTTCCTTTGATTTAAGACAGATTTTTAATCCTCTTTCTCAACTGTCCTCGCTCTCTTTTGTTGTTGTTTGCTTGCTGCTGTTGTTTTGTTTTCATGTCGGGACACATTTTTAGATTAAAAAAAAGGAAAAAAACCTTAAAAATCACAGGTAGTGACAGATATGAGCTTATTTTTTGATATATTTTTGACGTTAAAAAAACTTTAAAAAATTGTAATTTAATTATATATTTTAAAAAATTTATAACTGTAAAAATTATCATCATATCAAATACACGACCTGAAAGAGAGGGCTGCTTCTCAGATTGGATGCAGCCACCAATAACGTAAATTGTGATCAAAAGGATTGTTCGATAGTGCCCTTACAGTTTGGACTTTGGAGCAGAGAAGATGGGTCTTAGTTTAAGCGTTGACCTTCGGTTGGCAACACATGAAAACAGAAGTCAAGCACAACTTGGGCACCACGTTTAAAGATGGATAGTTTGACAGGAAAGCCAGCCGTTCATATCCATAAACATTTGATAAAAAATATAAAAAACCTATAAACATAGAAAAAATGGGCATAGAAGACTCCCCTATGCATATAGCACGAATGAAAATTTTTCAAACTTTAATATTTAATGCTTTGCCTGCACTATTCTCTTCGTATTAGCGTAGGGTATAAATTAATTTGATTGAAAGGACGGAGACATACATATAAAATATATCATCCAATGACCACCTAGACATTTTCAGACACGGCATTTTGTTGCAGTTGTTCAAAGAATCATGGATGTTTCCTTTCATGGTCCCATATGGCCTCATGCCTCTCTGACCACTCCCTGGACATTGAGAATATCTTGGTATGCAGTGAGAGGGTCATCTGCTCAAATGTACTAACATTTTGTAATAAATATGTTGCAAAATCAATTTGTTTTTGCTCCCATAAGTCCGCCAATCTCAGTTCGTCAGTCGTTGCTTCTTCAGGCACCAGAAGCTCAAACCATATATCTGCAACCAGTGGAAATAAAAAACAAAAAACTTTGAGATTCTTAACACACAGGTGAGATTAAAGGAAGGTGAAATTCAGCCAATGACGAATTGTCGTCTAGTGAGAATGATCAAGTATCCATTGCTGGGAGAATTGTTGCCTGCAGAGCTCTCGGGAAGCTTGCACTTCTCATCACTCTTAGAGATGACTCTGGGACAAATCAGGTTTTCTGATTTCACACGTGTTTGATTCGACAATGTTGTAAGATTTTTGTTCTTTCACTTTGCAATTTCATAACTAGACAGGGTATACAAATCATATAGAATAATACGAGTTAAACATTAAACATTAAGATATGATTTTAATGTGGAATCCAATGACGGATGTGCATTCTTCTATTTGTAAAAGAAAAAAAAATGCTTAGCAAATTACATTTAATTTATTTTATACTTTCAAATTTCAATTATTTAAGACCAATGGATAATAATATAAATTAACATAAATGTAAAAACCCCAAATTATCTCATAAGTCTTATTAATAAGTTTTTTTAAGATTGTTTATTCTTTTTCATAAAAAAATATTTTTCTCAACAGGACACTTGTCATGCATAGAGCATACAGCAAGCCATTGCTAACCCTGTCATAGACAGAGAGCACTTCTACCCTGCAACCTCATAATAGAGAGCCCCGCCGTGCTTGTAAATCAAGATGTATAGGAAGTAAGAGGACTCAATTAATCAAACTAGAATAGTACAGGGACCAAGTTGGAGTGATTAACCCCTCTAACAACCTATTAACTCACCAATCCATATAACACACCAAGGAGAACTCAAATACTTGCAAATTGGCATTGAAAGCTATAAAACTGTTTTGTCTTTATCCACTCCATTAACCTCTCTCTCTCTCTCTCAAAGTTCCAAACTTGGGAAAACTAGAGAGTCCCATCTTCAGTTATGGATTCATCTGTGGCTGTGAGCAGTGTAGTTTTTTGGGCCAAATAGGAGACCAAAGTGGGGATTCTGTGGGCCACTACAAGAACTGGAGACATAAAAGAAAAGGATTAGAGTATTTATTGTAAATAGCCACAAGGAAAAAAAAAAAATTACTCAGATAGAAGAGGAGGAAAACGAAAGTTATGGCGAGGAAGAGGAAAGTGGAAAGTAGCGCAGCGATAGTAGATGAGAGTGACAAAGTTTTGTATTCAGCGTTTAGAAATTCTGCTAATGAACTCTCTCAATTATACTCTCAAGCAATCAGTCATAACAAGCTTTCTTTTGAAGCTGGACAAAGACATGCTCTCGTGAGACCACTAAAAGTTTCTTTCTTTTTTCTTTTTGTTCAATTTCTTTTCTTTTTCTTGTTTTGGTATGGCACGACTCATCTTTATTGAATTTGTGAAAACCCCTTTGGGGTTTGATTGTTTTGATTCTACTTTTGAGGGTAGATGGTGTGTTTGTTGTTGAAAGTTTTGATCTTTAATGTATAATTGGTTACGATTATCATGCTTTTTGGAACGTATGTGATATGAATTATCATAGTTGTTGGTTTTGGTTTAACCTCATATCAAGTTTACTGATTTGTTGTTTTAACTTGAGTGAATTGATTGAGTACCGTGTTTACTGAATGATATGAACGATGTTTTTCTTTCTTTCATGAACGATGTTTTTCTTTCTTTCTTTCTTTCTTTTCTTTTGGCCTCTTATGGATTATTGAATGCTTGGTGTCATTTTGGAAGTCTGAAGCTATGGGCAAGTTTGGAAAAGTAATGGGATTTGAATGTTCTTAGTTAAAGACCGTATTTGGTACAAGGAGAAGACTCCTAATTATCACATTTTGTTCATTTTCTGGGTTTCAATGATCAAATAGCAAAAAAAGATTTCCAAGCGTTTATTTTTATGATTGTTGGATGCTGAAAATCTTATTGAAAATTACAAATGGTAGTTCTTTGCTCTCTTGATCGCTCTCTTATCCGAGGAGTGAAGTAATTGCATTAAATTGGTTGAATCTGAGATTGATAGCAGCAAAATGATGGAAAAATGTAGTGATTAAACTGGTTCTGACAATTCTGTTCTATGTTTATTCGACTAGGGTCCATTAGCTATTTGATAAATTTGACCGTATTTGCATGCACGCACTTAATTATGTTGCTTAGTCGTAGTTATTTAACCTTAGCTTTGGCGCTGCCATTTCTGTTAATATAAGCAGATTGGGTTATTGCTGAAACAAACAAGGAAGCACTAGATATTTGTTGGACTGCATCGTTTGGTTCCCATTTTTGTTGACACTGTTTTAGTAAAGCTAGTGGTAATTATTTTCTAGGGCTGAAATTGCTCAACTGGATTTCTCAAGTCTCCTCTATATATCATGGGATTATCATGATAAGCTGCATAAGAGTGGTGCAATCATGTGCATGATTGCTGGCATCTCCATTATTAGCTTTATTCAACCCTTTGGAAAATAGAACATGCGTTTGATGTTCATGAAGACCATCCACTCATACATTACCATTTGTTTTCTTCAGGAGAAACTGAGTAACTGGATGGCAGTGAAGCAGCAAGGTGGAATGATGGTGACACCAGAAGACATTTCTACTTATCTGCAGGTTTTGTTATGAAATTTTTACTTACAATCCTTCTCTTCACAATTCAGGAAAAGCTCTTGGCATTCATTCATTTGAAACATGTTTCTCATCTTTGGTATTATGATTGCTAAACATGGAAGTAACTCTTCATTAAATATTCTTCTCTCAGTGTTTATTGCATCGTAAAGGTAGGTTTGCTGCTCAAGCATTCCATCTCGTTCTGTTTTGTTTTATCTTAGGAGTCCATCAAACCTTTTGTAAAAGTTTTAAATTTACAAAGGTGTGAAGATTGTGAATGATGATAAAACCAGTGCGGAGAAACTGATATATTAAATGCTCTTCTACCAATTTGTTTTCTTTAATGCCTGTTTCTTACCAGCTGCAATCTGTTGCTGATTTAAATTCTGTTGACCTGTGCTTTACATATAAATATCCGACTCTTTTCTTCTTTGCCAAAATCCTGAAGATTGTAGACTGTTCAAGACCCAATCTTGTCTTACGATATTCACAGGTAGCCATGCTATCTGTTTTTAACTGCTGCATTGAACGAATTGGAAAATAACTAAGGGGAAGGTGCCATTGACAATATAATTGAGGCTATCCCATCTCTTGAGAAGATCAATAGAAAATGCTCTAGCGATACCAGAAAGTACAACTTTTTCAATGCTACTTTGGAACAGAAGTCATATTTAACATAGTGGGTGGGAGCATGATCTTATGCTCCAAGTACTGTCTGAATGCTGGAAAGGCAATCAACTGCTGGGAAGGCATGGCCTTTAGTTGAAGCTGCAAACATGTTTTGGGAAGGCTATGTTATTTCCTGACTAGTTATGCAAATTCTGATTGTGATTTCATTTTTTTTTTTGAATTGATTTGCAGAGTGAGCTGAACAATATTTCCAATGCTAGTTATGACTCACATGGTGGCCGGAATGAGGTGAACTCATCTATCACAACTCCTGTCATACAAAGCCAAGATAAAAACCTATGTTTTTCTTTCGATTCAGAAATGGATACAACTCCCGAAGGATCTGCTCACTAATTTCTCAGTCTTTATGAGAACTTGTATAGATTGATAGATTAATTAATGAGAAGATAACACTCAATTGATCTGTCTTCTCCACTTGTGAATCTTGGCAAATTCAACTCTATTCTTCTAATCTCTATCACACATGAAGATGGCTTCATCTATTTGCATTCTCTACTCCTGTTAGTCATGCTGATCTTATTTCTCATATCTTGCTCCATTGTTTGAACGTCACACTTTGGTAAAGTTTGGTTACATAATAGGCTACATATCTTCTTCTGTCATTTATGGTTGAAGTACTTAAAAAGTAGGGCTCCAAAGATAAGATAATATGTAAAATGATGAAGCAAGTAGTTTTTTTATATCTACCTTGAAAAGAGTTACAATTACAATGTCTATTGAAGTATTAAATCCTTATCATGAGACTGGTGGTGATGACATAGGTGACTGGAAATGTCTAGAATATGATGTATGGATGGTGAGGACAAGACTATCCTAGATCCTTAACATTTTATGTCGTGAACTATAGAATAGTCGATAGTCTTGTGACCTGGTATGAGACTTACAAAGACTTTCAATTCAAGATATATTTGGACCTAGATTGATGCCAAATCTAGGGATGTTGGGTTTGGTGTCTTACCAGACTCGTATGCATTTGGACTTAGCATGCTGTTGAGTTCAAAAGTATTGTGTCAGACCCATAAGTACCGAGGTTCAATGCATAGCTAATTCTATGGGTATTGGGTCAGGCACATTGCTAGACTTGTAGAAACTTGGGTTAAGTGCGTAGCCGAGCTTAAAGGTATTGAGTTCGGTAACTTGTCAGATCTATAGGCACTTGGACTAAGCGCTAAGTATATATTTGAGTCTAAGAATGTTAGGTATGACATCTTATCAAACTCACAAGCATTTGGGTTAAGTGCGTAGCCGAGCTTAAGGGTATTGAGTTCGGTAACCTGTCAGATCTATAGGCACTTGGACTAAGCATATAATTGAGCTCAAGGGTATTGGATTTGACATCTTGTTAGATTCATGGGTATTCGGGTGCAACATGTAGTTGAATTCAAGATTATTGGGTTAGATACATTTCTATACTCACAGATACTTGGGCTAAGTGTGTACTTGAATCAAATAGTATTGGGTTTGGTATCTTACAAGATTCATAGGCACATGAACTAAGCGTGCAATTGACTTCAAAGATGTTGGGTTGATATCTTTCCAGATCCATAAATATATCAGCTCAACATGTAGTTGACTCTAAAAATATTAGGTTTGATAAAATACCAGACTGATAAATACTTAGACACAAAATTTAGCTAAATAACATTGGGTTTGAAAATAAATTAAACTTATCAAATTTGAGCTTGATATTTTGATATTTTATATCAAACCCGGGAATATTGGTTAGCATCCAGCCTTTACTCTTTTTATGATGGGCTTCTTGAGCAAAGAGTTCGTGTACTTCGCCGGTCGTTAGCAGGCCTGATGGTTGTCACTTGTTTTACCTTGAAAGAGCATCATGTCTGGACACATTCAAACGGACAACAAAATGGTTAGTTCTATTATAGCCACTGGCTGATTGGAGAGGTCCTTCGATGCAACAATGGGTCACTATGAACCTGATTTGACATTAATTGATTGCATCGGTAATATCTTATTAGTTCAACTTGAAAATTAGAGGCTTTCAAATTCTATATATGTATTACTGGAGAAAGGAGTTGCTGTGTTTGCTGTTAGAATCCATTTCATCATATCCATATAAATCCCTGCTACCTGCTTGTAAATTTGTCTGTGATTAAGAGTTTCTGATGCTGAACTCTGACAAAAGCAAACACATATGGGCATGCTTCTGTCCCTAAAAAAACAAAGAAAGGGAGATGAAAGTGACATCCATGAAGTTCATGTCACAAACTTTTTACCTTGGCTTTCGTGATTTTTCCTTGCATCATATGACTGCCTTTGATTGGCTTCTCTAATAATCATGTGGTTTCCAAATGTCTAGCCTTCGAATTTCGATTGATGGGTCCGCTCTTTTGGCAGGTTAACGTGTGGCACATCTTTAAAATGAGTGTCTTTACCTAATTCTTATCATGTTACCTTGGATGCATGATACTTTTTTCGGTTTAATATTCCTATAATTGTTTTTCAAGTGTTTTTATTTAAAAATATATTAAAATAATATTTTTTTATTTATTTTTAATATTTATACATCAAAATGATATAAAAATACTAAAAAATTAATTTAAAATAAAGAAAAAATATTTTTTTTTATTTTTTTTAAAAATACTTTTGAAACACAGTCTCTAAATCCTCTAGAATTTATTTGAAAATATAGTTGCGATTGTTTTTTAAATAATTTTTTCATTTAGAAATGTATCTAAATATTATATATTTTTTATTTTTTTAAAAAATATTTTTGATATCAGTGCATTAAAATGATCTAAAAACACTAAAAATATTAATTTAAAACAAAAATTAAAAAAATAAATTTTTTTAGAAACGCTTTTAAAATGCAAAAATAAATAGGGATCTCAATAACTCACTACTAAGACTTATAAATTAATGATATTTATGTTATTAAATACTTTTGATAATGTTATACATTGCATCATTGAACATATCTTTCATCTATTCATGTTATTTTGAATTTAGATGTTAATAAAAATTAAAAATTAAATATATTTAATTTGTGATGTTTGTATGATGTCTTTATCAATAGCTAAGTTTTTTTCAGTGAAATGATAACTTAATTCATTTTATTTTTCTAAAAAAATGATATTAAGGGTTCAAAATTGAAATTTTTTGTTGGATTTCTTTTGACAATTTAATTATTTTTTCTAAAATATTCTTCATTCCTAATCAAGATTTGCAACCTCACATACCATAGATAAGATCAAAGATGCACATAGAAAAGATTGTTTACACATTTTTTTTTTTAAATTTAACAATTAACATAGATCAAGGGATTAGCTTATGATTTTCAAAACCAAAAGGACCAACTTGTAAAATAATAAAAAATAGGAAGCAAATCACAGTTTACCCAAGAGTACTTTTGTGCCTGCTAAAATCGAGGAGGCAACAAGGGAAAGAATAAAGAGGAGAGCAAATCGAGGGGAAAACACAACCACTAGCTTTGCTTTGGATTAAATCTTCTAAAATTCCTCAGAAAACCTAATTCCATATCATTAGAATAAATCCGAATCAACATGTGAGTCAACTTGGAAACTTTGATGCCTAATCATTGGATAAGGAGGAAAGTCATAACCTAGTGGGATGCTTAATTGCCTATTAGGCAAACCATGGGAGAATTATCTTGGCTAATGGTGCTTCTACATTTAAGGTAACTTATTTGAATACAACTACTTGCTTGCTATATGTAATTCATTGTATTTGGTATTAAGATGCGTTATGTTTTTTATTTAAAAATATAATAAAATAATTTTTTTATATCTTTTTTAATTTTTGACAATGACACTTCATCATAAGCATTAAAAAACATTTAAAAATAAGTATAAATTTAATTTTTTTTCAAGCCAAATACACTTTTAAAACATATACAAATATAGTTTCAAACATAATACCAAAAATGCATGCAGATTCTTTGAATATTCTCTTTCACAATAAGTTAAAATGTTGCCCTTGAGACCCACAAAATTGAAATGAAAGAGATTTTAAAAGTATAGGTTGTGTTTGTTAGTGTTTTAATATAGAAAATTAAAAAAGAAGAAGATAAAAATATATCTCATTGAAGAAATAAAGATAAAGAAATAAAATAATAGATTTATTTAAAAATTAATTTTGGAATAAATTTTATTTTCAAAACAAGAAATATAAAAATAGATATATCCTCTTATTATTTATGTTATTTTTCATCTTTTCTGTACCGTGATAATATTCCTCCTGCATGCAAAATAAAGTATTTAAGGCAGTTAATAATAAAATCCCTTTTTTTGGATTTTGGAGGGCCTAACGGTTACATTATAGAATACAAGAATACTTGGCAGTTGGTTTTTATCTTCCAAATCCTAGTCTCTCTAAGGTTGTCCCTTCTTTTTGCTCTTACATGTCTGACTGGATTTCTTGCTCGTCCTTTCATGGCTGGTTTACAATGCTGAGGTGAAATGATAGAGGCTAGGATTGTCATTTCTTGCAATAGTAATATTCCATAATTTTGTCCTGTCTTGTTAAGATTACAAGTGCTGTCTTTTTCTATCATTGAAACAGAGGTGTTTTAACTCTGGATGGACAGGTTTTTTCAGTCTATAGAGTCTTCTAATTCATCATCAAATACCTTAAGACTCAAAACTGCTTTCTGGGTTCCACTTCTTTCTTTGAAAGTTTTTGACTTGATCCCTCCTTTCGATCTCTAAACTCAAAACAAAAGAACCCAATTTTGAGTTTAATTTGGTTCTGTGTTATTACAAGTTGTTTTGTTTCTACTTTCTTCAATGGGGTCCATTTTGTTCCGACAACTTTTTTGCCAAGTTGACAGCAGTTTTGTCTGTTAAAACACAGTTCCTTTTACAAACCACCTTGTTGGGTTTGCTTGCTTTCCATTTTTTGTCCTTCTTCATACTTCTCAAATTATAGGAATTCAATGGTTGAAAGATTCAAGTTTTAGATCCATGCTTTTGAATTGGAGTCATGAAATGGGCAAATTCTTTTGTAGTTTGATTGACGATCAAGAAAATATTTGTTCATGAGGGTCTTGTTTTGCAAGATCCATTGTCCTTTCATTTGCTTCTGCAAGCCCTCTCCTAGAATATACGGACCAGTACCACTGAAATTGGAAAACAGCCCTCATGTTCCTTCAACTGCAGTTATATCAGTTGTTGATGCCTCCTGTGATGGTGATCATGTGCTGAATGATTCCGTTGATGTGAAAGAAGGGAGTGTAGGTGTTGATGGGAAACAATCACAGGCTCAGAATGGCCTCAAAAGTAGTCTCAAAAAGGCAGATTTTGATTCGAAAGAGGTAAATAAGAAGAAAGTGCGGTGGATGGATTTCTTAGGGAAGGAACTTGTTGAGATCAGAGAATTTGAGTCCAGGTTTGTACTTTTTTGTGGTCTCTATTATCTCCATCGACATTTTTGCTATACAAAACAAACGTATTTCTGTATAAGTGTAATTGATGAAGCTGATGGATTTAAGGATGGACAAGAAAGAATGGTTTCAT